ATGGCTCTATTTTCGTTGCGTTTCTTCCAGGCTACTGCTGTCTCCTGTTCCAAGATGAACGATCAGTGCAAAGTCTCATCGGAGCGTGTATTGTAGATGAAGGAAAGTACTACTGGTGTGTTTCCTCCCCGACCATGAAAGATAAACCAGTAAGTTGACTCCAGTTTATCAGTATCAGTGCTACGGATTATCATATCGATCACTTGCCTGTATCAGAATATTAGCTTAACTTGAGGGGTCTTAACCTATGTTATTACTGTAGTTTTCATACTTGGGTATCTGTTTTTGCCTGGATCGGTTTGTATTTTGTGTAATGTGTTGGCCTTACCTGCCCCAGACCAGCGAATATATATGGACTGCCTAAATAGTACCAAATTTTGCTGGTTAGAATTTCGAATCAAAGATCCAACTTCGAATTCCAAAGCAATAAGTAATTTAACGTTGGGAATACATCCAGTAAGTATAGTGTTCTGGACTAAAAGAGTGAATGACTTTGAAAGTATCATCTCGATACGAATGACTTCACCACCTCTGTCGAGCGTTCGCCTAGGTTCTGGTCTTCTCATACGGCCCTCAGCGTGGCTTCCAGAATTTGTTCATCTAAATATCTCCCATATTCGGTGGATCGCTTGAGTAGCAAGAAAGGCAAAGTTGGTTTTTGGGTAACTGCTAAATGTCTTTTCAAAACAACGCTCCATAAACACTGCTGACCTACCTTGTAGCTTACAGTTAGTTGCGGTAAGATAGAATATGTATCCAGTGACAAAAGAAGTAGAATATTGTCAGTGACAACTTTTATCACTTTCCCGAGATTCTTTTATGAGTAGTGCACAATGTCGCTCTACCCAATTCCTATGCGCACTTATTCTACTTCCATTCAGTATCCATATTTCAGTACTAATCATGACCTGTTGCTTTCATTTACTCCTGTCAAATGGGTATCAAGTGGCCGGAACCTAATTCGACTCACAAAACTGCAAGGTTGTGTAAAGTCCAATCACTATAATTATCATAGAAATGATAATACTTTTCATAACGTCAGTTTCTTTCATGCCGAGCAGCTAATCGGCGGCAGTGATAATCTGTTATCCTTCCAATAAGGCCATAATGCACTGTTCCTTATCGTTACCCACTTTCATTACCCGTCCCTAAAAAGAGATTCATTCCTCTCCACCTTACACATTCACTTTTTGTGAATTGTAAGCTTGGTAGCGGTCAGCGAAGTTCGCTTTACTTTATTTAGCTGTACACTGCTAAATTAATTCATTAATCCAAGTAGGTAAACCTGTTTATTCCCACCCGCTGTCCTAATTTTAGGTTCTATGTGATGCGCAATTCTAGGTCCTAACACTGTAAGTCACTGCAGGGTTTATTTTCAGAAACTTCCTCCGCACTTCAGGAGACACCGAGGCTAGTTTAGTAGCTCAGCGCGGAGTGGGTACTGAACCGAGTGACAAACCTGAAGTCGCACTCATTGACTGAATTCCCCTTAGTAGCCCCTAGTGTATGATGCGGCTTCAGGGTTCAGTTGGTGTTCTAAACGGAAACAAAATCAGAAGGTAAATTACTCATCATCCCAGCACAGAACGACAATTTTTTGTAAAAGTCTCATTGAATTGATTCAGCTATATTGAAACTGTTATAGTTGTGTGCGACTTTTACACACCGCCTCGCTGCCTTGTGGGTCAGACTCTGGCTAGTCAAAGGCTCTGATTGTAAATTACCTAAAAAAACATCTACCTTGGCCTGAGCGTATTTCACACACTTCAGAATCCAGACTGTGTGCCAAACAAATTACGATAGAATACTATTTCTAAAAAATAGACAGCTCCACGATTTGTCTGTGGGCGCGATACTGCTAGGTTGCCCCGTGGCCAAGGTACATGAATTTTCTTGGGGAATTTACAACAGGAGCTTTCGACTAACCAAAGCCTAACTCGCAAGGCAGCGGGGCGGTGTATGAAAACCGCAATCCATAGAGGCCGATGTACAGTTTATCGGATCATGCGCCCTTTGGACGGGGTCAAGCGTCCAAGAAGCCCAATACTCCCCGATGCCCAATCGAGCCGGTGACCACTGCCACAACCAGGAGGTTGTGTTTGTGGTTCGTACACTTCCTCGTGGTTGGTTTGGAATCAAGGTTTTCAGCCATTTTCTCCAGGAGAACTGCCGGTGGTTGACCACCCGTTTATGGCCTCGGATGTTGGCTTTTCGTCCTCTCACTTTGGTGCGAAAACGTCTGTCTCACGCGAAGGTAGCGAGATAACCTTTCTCAGCAGCTATTCGAGACGCTTGGTCGTACGGGAGCATTTCGCGAGGTACAGACAACGTTATGCTACTAAGTGAAGATCCAAGTAAGTTACAAGCCTTTGTGTATAGTTTGAGTGCTAGTGTAACTAGGTTCCTCATGCGTTTTGCACCTTCAAAGTGTAAAATGTTACTTCAAGACTGGGTTGGTCCTGCATCCAGCCTCACCCTAACTGGGGGCAGTAATAGAGCAATTGGATAAGTTTTGTTATTTGGGCAGCCACATCTCACCCGGTGGACGCATGACGGATGAAGTGTCAGCTCGCATACAGAAGGCTCGGTTGGTATCTACAAATTTGAGACATCTGTGGCGCCGTCGCGACATCCGGCTGTCTGTCGAGGGTCTAGTGTATGCTGCAACAGTTCGGCCGGTTCTGCTATACGGCGTAGAAACTTGGCCATTAAGGAAACAGGATAAAGATAAAGACTGTCGGTGTTAAAATACTGCTGTCTACGCAGCACTGCACGAATCTGGTGGGGCAGCCGGACGAGCAATGCTGAGGTCAGGTGCTGAGTTTTGTGTGAATGCGGTCGTCCACTGGAGCAAGTGGTCGACCTCCATAGATAACGTTGGTTGGGACATGTGTTACGCATGTCACCACATAGGTTACCACGGCGGGCGGATTTTTGAGGCAGGTAGTGGGGGGAAGAAAGTCAAGGGTGGTCACGCTAAGACCTGACATGAGGGTATGAAAACCCTAACCAGGAGTCTGGGTCATATCGGTCCCGTTAGGCCCGCTGGCTGGGGACCTCGGGATGGGGTACCCGATGGTTGTAGACACTGAGTGATATGGCTGGGTGTCGTAAACAGTGGCGTTCGTGCATCTTGTCGATTTATCTGCATCGTTAGTCCACTTAACTTCCCAATTTTCTCTTCGATCCTACTTTCAACCTTTCCCGTCTTTCTCCTCATGTTCATCCAAATGGGAGGCCAAACCAGCACACGCT